GTGCACTTTTGTGAATCATAATTTATATATGTATTCAAATTTCGATAAATTTTGCGATTAACTTATCGATAGAGAACAAGTCGGGACATTTGTTAAAAAGAAAGTATTTTGTTACCAAGTATAGAGAGAAAGAAAGACACGAGATTTTCTGTGTAGCATCAATTATTTATAAGTTTAAGACGCTGAGATCTGACGATAAACCCTCGAGAGCGAGAATAAGATCGTATTTACGATGCGTGCGAGGGAATTTGGAGAATTATAATACAAAGGGATTCTCCAGCTTCTCGCGGGAATGTAACAAAGAATTCTCTTCGAAATTTCACTTTATCCTCTCGATAAACGGACTCCTGATAGATGCACTTCCGTAACAGGTAGAAATAAGAACAAGATTGCTCGCGCGAGCCATCGACCTGATTCTCGAGAGATATTCGATAGAATTTAACCGTCCCGGGTTTCTCGCAAGGAATTCAATTAACATAACAAATCGAGACGCCAAGCGCAATTGCGTGAAATTTCAAATAATTGCGTGCTCTTCGTTCGCCGATCAATTATTTGCGACGGTGCAAACATTTGCATACACATTGAGAATATATGTATGTATACACAAAATGCGCATTGCAAAGAAAACATTGATATTTGGAGATTGAATTATTGAATTAACGTGTTACGCGATATGGAACAAAGACATGCTTACAATCAACTTTATTGATTAATAGAGCATGTAATTAAATACGATGTATCTATTTATTAGCTTCGACAACACAATAAGCAGATATCGAGTATAAAGCATAGCTATTCTATTTCTGATTTCATAATCGAGGTGAAAAGAAAGGAAGAATTATCTGAAAATTGATATATAACGAGAAAATGGGAAATACTTGTGTCACTCAAGATTGAAATTGTGTTACGAGAATAATATAATATCGAAATAATTTTTCGGTCAATTATTCGAATCGATGGATAACGTAACGATGATCCCTGATATAATTTTGCTCGTGATTGAATACTTGGATGTAGAATCTGAAAAATACATTCACGCGCCGCTCGCTTTCAATATGGAATTTCCGTTAGATTTCTGAGTAATTAGGATTGAACACAGTGGCGGCTACTTTACAGTCTAATTACGGGCGATCAATCAACTAACGATAGCGCCCCGGGTGTAGTTAATGCGTTCATAAATCAACCGCGCACTGGACCCGCTTTAACGGAGCCGTGGGGAATTACATGCACCATTGTATGTCACGAGTCCATTGCATTGTTTAACGCATATTGCATAACAGATCAGAAGATTCAGGGGATTGTTGCGATCTTTTTAATAAATTTTGACAACGCATTTATTTACAAATCTTGTTTCCCGTAATGCACTTGTTTTATTTTTCAAAATTTTGAGACAATAAAGTATTTACATTTAGCATTAAATATATCTTCACAATGAAGACTTGAATGAAATTGCTGTTGATGTCAAATCCGGTTTTAAAATTTATTTTACGGAAAAACAAAATTCATTTATATTTATACAGAACCGTAAAATCTTTTAGTTCGTATAAAATCCTTTAGCTTTTAACGTTAAATTACTCTGCGATTATTATCAATCCTCGGTATTGAGGAATAATTAAATTCTTTTGCGTTAAAAGAGCTTTTCGCTCCGTAGTATTTATTAAAAAACATTGAAAGTTTCTCTGTCGATCCATCTTACGTACCATGCAGACAAAGTAATAATTACACACGCAAGATTCTTGGCGGATTCAACGTTCGTAAAATCGAAGAAAAAATATAATTTGTAACAGCTCTTTAATAAATTAATCAACAACTAAAAGGCAATAAGAGCTAATTAAATTCTATCAATTAGTAATTTATTTGTGAAACGATGTATAACATAAATCTTAAATATCAGACGGAAATAAATTCGTTCGAACGTTTCGGTTGTCTTTTCCAACCTTCTTCAGCGCATATAATTAAAAATTAGAGTTTAATAAAATTTAACAATAAATCACTTATAAACAACGCATTTTTTATATATAAACTATTCTTCAAAACGTCATTATATGTGATTGTCGCGAAACGGAAAATTAATTAATTATCAAATAAGACCGCGTGACCAGCTTTTTTTCCATCGCCCTCGGACTCTTGCTCGGACATCGTCCTATATCGAGAATTCCAAGAAAGGAAGAAGAACAATAAGAAAAAGGATGAAATTCACGGCGAGTCTTCCGGTTCGACAGGTCGCGAATTTCTCGCGTTCGAGAGAAGAGAAGACGTTCGAAGGACGGAAAGGAAATTGCTCGTTCGCGACAATGCGATCGCCGATCTTTGAACGTGAAAGCGCGTGGCGGCATTATATCGACGCCGACTTTCCCGTATCAAAGAACGAACGCTTTCCGTAGCCGTCAGCCTCGTCGGAATCGGCCCAATTCCACGACGAACGGGGATTATTCCGCTCGGATGGGAGAGACCCGTTACGATTCTCTCCCTTCCTTTGACACCCTCGGAAATGGATGGCTGTATCGTTACGCCGAGCGGCCGATTTTTCGCCAATTGAAAAAGAGATCCATGAGGGATAATGCATTCTTCGATACTCTCCGTGAAATGCAATACCTACCTCCGTTAAAAGCCCGCTTTGACAGAAACGATTTTAGCGCCAGATTGTCCGAATCAGAATTCAGTGCCTGTCCTACTTGTAAAAAAAAAAAAAAAAAAAAATAAATAAATAAAACATCCCGCATGACAGTATTTTTGTTTTCCTTTCGTTATTTAAACGACGCTGTTTTAAATTCGACGGTAACGCCGAAATCTCGGAATTTTAAAGCGCTGGAAGCGAAGCGTAAAACACAGATTGCTTCTCGGGAATTTATGTTCGATTGGATTAACGGCGGGCGATGGAGAACAGCGCAGTCCCGCTATTTCGACAGTTTGACATAAGAAAATCTCAATAGCGCGCAGAGGAGTTTGCAGGAACAGTTCCGTCTATCGTTTCTCGGCAGCGCGAAAAGCATTCCCAAGTCCTTTGAGGCAAAAAGACCACCCACTCGGTTCACCGCTAACTCGACTGCATTCTATTCTGACCCGGGTGGCGCGATTCGCCTCCTCTTCTCCTTCCAGCTCATCGATTTATTTGCCGCATAATTCCGCTTAATCCCTCGATTCCCCGACAAGGAATAAATATTTCCGCGCGATTAAACGCGTCGTAACCGCGTCCGACGCGGATCCATATATGCGAGAGCGTACGGTTATATTCTCTGTCAAAATTTCACGATATACATACATTAAAAATTGATCAGGAAGAGAAGGGATTAAGGGCTCCCGAGCCCTTTCCATATTGCATGCAAGGATTGTCCGCGTGTATCGTTAATGAATTTCATTACTTCGATATCGCAGCTGCAAATTATTGAAACGCTCGTGAAACAAATATCAGGATTACGGCGTAAATAAGTATGAGTAAATAATGGAAAAAACGCGCGGAAAAATATAATATTTACAGGATATTTATTGTGTAAGTGGACAAAAAGTATTACAGTTTGAACATTTTTATCTGGAGCTGTTATCGTTAATTACACATTTACTGTTACATTCCCTTTAACGAACTCCTTAATTATCGACAATCGAGTACCTAATATTATCATCGATCACGCTCGCCATTATCGTCACACGTACATCGTTTCTCTCTCGAGCTTGTACTTAATTATTACATCTCTTATACGATTTATCATCTTTTATTTTAACTCTTTACCGCATTTCTGTGTGTGCGTTGCACACGCGATACCAAATATCTCTCTATTTTCTATAAAAAAATAACGACAATGATTTTTCATCAAATTGTTTGATGCGCTATATTACTTTTCGAGATTCAACTAAATTATTATTATATATATATATATATATATATATATATATATATATATAATGTTCGCAAAATTTCGTTAATATTAAAAAGATGCTCCTTTTTTCGCGATCGCTAGATCAAATTTCTTTGCACTTTTATAAATCATTATTTAATTTTTTAATAAAATTCTCCGTTTTTTCTAAGAAAAAGAGAAAGAGAGGAGGGAAAGAGAGAAAGAGTAATGAATATTAGATTGTATTTGTCATACCGTTAAAAATACACTCTTGTCGCACGATATGTGGTCTCGCAAATTTCTTCACAGGAAAGATTTATATTTCTTTGAAACACACTCTTAACACACACACATATACATACACACATATACCGTTATTTGTGTATATTTCCAATTGTAATGAAATATATCTATTTAACATATCTCTATAAGTGAAATTTTCTACAAACAAGTATATTTGTTAAATTTATTACACGATTAAATATATACTGCTGTTTATGAGAATTGCAACACCATGAAGGAATAATGATATTAGCTGTGTTGCAATTTTCACAAACCGCAGCGTATTTTTAATTGTAATAGAAATTAAGCGGTAAAGAGTTAACTTTGCAACCTCGACTTGATTCCACTTGATACCGTGCGTTATGTACGAATATATACGCTCTATTATTAAATCTATTAGATAAAAATAATTGTGTATTATTGATAATTATGCTAACGAAAAACAGTTTCATTACGACATTGATGCGTCGACCCTTGAAGCTTAATTTTTACATGGTTCGTCATAACAATTAACTAAAGATACGCCTATCGTATCTAACAATTGTCAGTTTCGATATGTGTAATCCAATGAATTTATTTACAATTCTTAAGATTTCAAAGTTTTATGGTTTTTCTTTTCATACGGAAGAATCTTCGTATGCTGCAACTGTATATTTCACTATTAGATTTGCGAGATTGGCATAAAATTAGCTGAACGAATTAGCTTAACAAATTAGCTTAACGTCATCTGCTTAAATGAATTTCTCGACTATTATTCGTTTTATCGACTGTTACATTTGTTAAAATACCAAGAATTGCTCTCAATAAAGATTCATCAGTACAAGCTACTATTTTATAATTAAAAAGATGTAAAATTCATTAATAAAAATAATAAAGGATATTTTTGCAGGAATTATTTATATGTATGTATGTATATATATATATTTTTAAAAGCTATTTTGGAGTCATCTTTTCTCATGTAACGTAATTAAAAATTCTTCATTCTTATAAAGAGCAAACGAATTACTGAGCTGCTCTTGGATGGAACGCATAGGAGTGTATAAAAAATTTTTAATTTAATCCCTTGAAAGTTTGTCTTCCGGCGAACAAATTAATTACGAAATTATTTCCCTTTTTGAATGTATTGTTGAAGGCGCGTATGTATACAATATGTAGGTGTAAAAAAGCTCCAATAATTTTCTTACATTTTTATATTAATGTTAAGATGATACGTACCTCGATACAAAATCGATTTGTTTCTCGAATCATTCAAGCTTCTTCGATCTTTTTTCTACCGAACCAAATCTAAAGAGCAAACGTCCACGTGAACGAATAAAATGTTATATATATATAAAGTTAAAAATAATATTTTAGCACACTAAAAATCTTATACATGCAACTGTGAGACAATCCTTGCAAAAACTGATTTCGCGTTACACGATAAACCTGCTGGAAAGCCTAAAAGATAAACGGAAGCGATTTTTTCACCGGTAACTCGTCAAGTCTCGATGGAGATCCCGCGCACTCGAGGACGGTGAAATGCTAGAATTCAAAGATCGTACGCAACAAGACTTATGTATTCTCGAGATCTCTGGAATCTGCGTAGACTCGAAAGATCCATCGTTAGCGCGGCGTAGAATCTATCGATCCGTGCGATTCGCCCTCCTCCAGAGAGTAAAATCCGGATGCCAGAGATTCGGAGAGCGCGCTCGGCGAATTCCTCAATCACTTCATCCTCTCTACCATCTATTTCCATATTATCCCGCCCGCTCCCGACGGAGAGAACCCGAAACGTTTCCTTCACGTTCTCATCACTAAACAAACGAGCTCATCAATAAAACAACGCGATGATCCTCCCTCCCACGTCAAACGATCCGCCGCCGTTTAGCCGTCGTCGCACACCACCACCATCACCACCACGGGTCTTAGTTTTGCGATCATCAATTATTCATGCAACGCGCGCGACGTGGACCCGCACGACGGGGACTCTCTACCCGCGACGATAGTAGATCTTGTCCTTGCAGTTGCACGTGGCGCCGCAGAAATTCCGGCGTTCACGGCCCTCCTTGGTGTCCGTATCGCACACCCACGAGCTGAACGTCCTGACCAGCTCGGCGCAGTTCGTCCACAGGTCGACGTGGTTACAGGCGTTCGTGCAGAGCTTGCCTCGCGTGCAGTGGTCTTTGCACATGCTGCACGGCTCGCCGGCCACGTAGGGCAGTCCGAGACCACCTCTCTTGTTTCCGCTGCGGAGCACAAGTACGCCAATTGTATTAGATACGTCTGGCCAATTGTATTAGGGACGCCTGCTTTTTTTTTTTTTTTTTTTTTTTTTTTCACAATTTTTTTACAATCTATATTTTTTACTGAAAAATTCTATACTTGTTGATATTTAATAATAGATCAATCTTATTTTTTGCATGGTTCTCGAAAGCAGGCGGCCACCTTAATGGAGGGAAAGAGCGCACTCAAAAACGATCGAGATATGGAGCAGGTTTTTTTTATCTGAGAACAAATTAATTTCTTTTTAATCTTGAAATACGTAAAATTAATTTTAAAAACACATGTCTAAATATTTAGTAATTTAAGAATTTATATTAATTTAAGAAATAAGTCTGTCATCTGCTTCGGTATATAGACACGCAGGCGTAGGAAAATATTTTTTTCGTCTTTTTTCCTTTTTTGTGCTGAGGCAAAGTAAACCGCGCATTTTTCTAAAAAATTGTTCTCGAGTGACTTCCAGTTCCTCACTTATTCAATTTTATGATAAGCATCTTTACGACGGCGCTCACAAAATTTTCTACAACGATTTTATTCAATTTATAAACATACTATTTGGAAATGCATATGTGCACTTGTGTGCGCACACATGTAATCTATTTTGTATATATTATCATAAATATACTTTGCTTCAATTATAGCGGACGAGAAATACTAAAAAAGATCGCATCAAAAGCTGCATTGCTTTAATCGATGTATATCTAAAAAGCTCGACGCTTCTATTAAGGCTAAACTCATGAAATTGGAAAAGTGAATTGTTCTCATTTTTTAAGAAAATATTCACGCACGTTTATTTTTTTGGTGAAGATTAAAAACTTTAATAAAGATTAAAATCGCGTGAAAATTACACATAGAAAGTTCGGGCCAAGTTTGTTTTAGCAAAATAAGTTTACCGATTAAATTTCTCAATTCGCGAGCAACAAGTATCCTCGATAATAATATGCCTCAAGATAGAACACTTTATTATAAGAAGTAATCACTTATTTCATAATTTATGTAAACGTTCAATGAAAAGAATACTTTTTTTAATCTAATTTTGTTCATATTATTAGATTATTGAATTCACTGTAAAACTTAAAATGTCCAATCATTATTCGGAGTTTATAGACATTGAAATCATCGAGTCCTCTTTTCGCGATAGCTTTCCTCGGTTTAAGTCTCGGTGTATCTGCGACTTAAAATAAATACCTGATTTATCCGAGGCGCATACCGTAAATAGTTTAGGCGGTATCCATTAGCCGCGCACATTAACGAAAAGCCCTAGAAAGTACCGTCGAGCAATTTGCAAATGGGCCACCGAATTTACATTCAAAGTATTTTTCGGGACGAGAGCGTCTTAAACGATTGCGCGCGCGCATGAATTCTCCGTCTCTGGAGGCTGCATTAGTTTACCGGGAGGAGAAAGAGGGATGCTGTGTATCCGCGAAATTAATTACGAGGCCGGTGCGCAAAAGAGAGAGAGAGAGAGAGAGAGAGAGAAGAGAGAAACGAGATAAAAGGAAAGATAAAGTGGCCAACCGCACATCACGCGACACGGTTTATTTATTCAGGACCCGGGCTACCGATGGCGGCTTCGTCGGTTCCGCTTTTCGCGCGAAATAGGTCAGGCGTCAAATGCACCGTGCGAGAATGTGCATGTGTTTAACAAGAGGTGGAGATCGACATCTTAAATATGAAATGATCTTAAAAGCCGCTTCTCCGTGTTCTACTTGAGGCGAAATTCGACGATTGTGTGTAAACACGGGTCGAAAATCTTCCGTCTTGTAACAATTTTTCGATAGGGTCGCGCCTCGTAAAATTCGGAACCAGCATCCCTGCGCGAAAGCGTCTCGAGAGACTGGCAATAAGTTTTCCTAATCTTTCGAATCACGACATTTTCAATATCTCACTAACTAAACCACGATTTATAGTTTCTCCAAGTAAAAATCCACATTTCAAGTTAAACAACGTTAAACAACATTACCCATTTTTACTTCCAAAGTTCATCGATTTCCGGAACTTTGTACAACGATGGATTAGAAACTACTGATGTCACGATATTTTTTGTTAATTAAAAGTATTGCAATTTTATTTTATTTTTTTGTAAAGCAGAACATGTGATACAGTGATTTTTCGCTACACGCCTCGTGTATTAATTACATATGAATACATTACATATAAAATGTATATGCGATGGTGTTTGATAAAGTAACAACAAATAAATATTTCGAGATATATAATTCCATTACAGATACAAATGATGTGTCAGTTTTCTACATAATATCAACTTTTTTATTCTTTATTCCATTAGAAAAAAATGTGTTCGGTTGTGTGCCTTCCCAGGAATGCATCGCACTTCTTTGACCTCGTCATCATTCCCACAAATCTTCGTCCTCTCAAAACGTCCTTCAGGGATGCAAACACATGATAATTAAAGGAAGCAAGATCAGGGCTGTTTGAGGGATGCTGTAAAATCAATGAAGCGATACATTTTTGGTCGAAGGCACAACCAAAAACATTTTTTCTAATGGAATAAAAAAAGTTGGTATAACGATATGAGTAATGTATAGAAAAGGAGAAAAATGACACATCATGTATCTCTAATTAAATTATTCATATATCTCAAAATATTTAATTTACTTTTTGAAACACCGTCGCATATAAAATCATTCTTTATGAGAAACGCATTTACGATTGAAGACTGTTTCTCTATTCACTTTAAAAATATGGATTTCTCGTGGCAGAAAAAAAATTAACGCTCTATGCGTATTAATATAACGCGTAGATTTTTCTCCGTCTTGTAAAGAATATATGAAGTCACCGATGAATTCATCGCGCCGATCGCATTAGAACGGATTTCGCGTAAAATTTATCGGGTCCGCATATTTTGCGATCGATATATGAGAGGGATATATAGCGTCGCGCGATTTGCAGAAATCCTTAGTTCAGAACTGGGTCGCCGGCATTTTTGTACGGACTACTGCAGGAGCGATAAATTGCGAGCTTCTCCCCCTTCCACACCCCTTCCATCCCGGAAGATCGAAGCGGATTCTAATTGCGGGAGTCTCTCGCGCGTGAAATGTTGCCGGGAAAATCGTTTATTTATTGTCACTCATTTACTGGACGACTTACTCGAGAATGCGCGACAGCAACAATTCGACTCGATATAATTCTCGGTCATTTCAGCGAATCGAATATAGATATTTTCGGACAAATTATTTTGTATTACACGTGCAGGCAATGTGGCACTTTCGGTGCATGTTTTCTGTGCCGAAAGCGGCCGATTTCCCCCGCCGCCATCTAGCGGCGACGCCGTGAGTGAATAAGCCAGGTTTCAAAGTCATTATCTACGGCTGAGCCGCGTTAAAAGTCATTGTATACGGCTCAAGCCGTAGGAAATGTATTGAAACCGGCTATTCCCCCACCGTGCCGCGGCAAGATGGCGGCGTGCGATCGGCCGCTTTCGCGCACAGAAAACGCGCCGAAACAGCCACTTTGCCTGCACTTGCAATACAAAATAGTATGTGTATCAAGTGCGGATTGACAATTGTTCACTCGTGTGGGGTGGTCCATCCCCCGCACTCGTGACCAATTGTCAACTTTCCACACTTGATACACAATATAATACTATTATCAATATGTTTACGATACACAGAGACGAATTGATTTTTCCAGAGAAAGAGATGTTATATATATAATATATAAAAAAACGATGTAAGTGAATTTAATTTCTAAAGTAAAAAAATGTAAAATTTTTTTGTTAAATAATCTTCACGTTCATTGAAACAGATGCGAAATAATTTAAGATTATTGAACTTCACAGTCTACTAATTACTTTCCGATTCAATAAAGATTATCTTTTTTTTTCAATTATTTTGTACTTCTCTGACCTATATTTTGTATTATTCATTAAATAAAGGTAAGCGCGATCGGTTCTGTGCAAGAAAATTTCAGGAGCAAAATTCTTATTCGCTTATCGTACGACATATATGCGATATATATATATATATATATTGCGTTGAACGCGCTGTGTGTAAAAATATATATACTTGAATCGGTAGTCGCGCGTGCATACAAGGAAAATCGTAAGTATGCTGAGAAAGTGTGTCATACCGGTGACAAAGAGAGCCGTCTAAGTGCCACAATGGGCATGACAAAGACGAACGAGCTATAACTCGCGCCGACGTTGCATATATTCCTCGCCGGTGTGTCACAGCATTTTCCTTGTTTTCCCTTGCTTATACGCAAGTCCCTTCTCATCCCTCGTGTTTTCCCCCCGCGGGCAAATACATATATATGTCTCTCTCTCTCACACACACACACACACATGTACAGTATATAAATATAGGATTTACATATGTCAGTGCGTCCAGGGAAAGCTTACGTGCCAGTCTCCCGCGAGTTCGCCAACACACATGGATTATTTTTGCTGGGTTTGTACTTTCGTAAAAAAGCTAAACTATGTATAATCAAGTTCGTACACGGAGTGTTTACGAAAAATTCTTCTTATATAGTATCTACAGTTATATTCAAATGACAAATTTTGTTATATTATTATAATTCATGTAATATTAATACACGACAAATTTTTTTCGCTCTGATTAAAGTCCTTTAAGAGAGCTAGAGAAAATTTGCAATATCTTCATCTGTATAGAAGGCAAAATAATTACTCGAACGCTAACCGCTGCCAGGTTCGCGATCAAAGTCCTTGTTTAAATGTGGTCGTCGTCGCTAATTAACGTTGCGCAAAGAGCGGATTGTTCGCGTACTTTGATCAAGCTACCTCCTTCCTTTTCACCTTTCGTCGATCCTTCTTCCTTGTTTATTCCCCTTGTGTCGGTGCATCGACAATCGAGGAGGGTGCTTTGACCCTTTTGGCGAGCGAATGTCAATCTAACATAAGTAAGACCCGACTTTGACGACGCCCAGGCGCGTGTTACTTTCGTCAAGTTTAACCGTTTCGATCCAGCGTTTCTCTCTAGCAAATTATTGCGTCAATTCCGCGCTAATGAACTAAGTTCTAGCTGTGGCCCAATTGCGATTGCTGTCACGGAAACGGCCGTGTATCATAGCAACACCACGGCGAACGGCATATATGTATGTACGTTTCGGCGAAAATAATTACATCGCTACCCTGTCGATGTAATCTATCGCGTTGCGATTTTGTAACCCTGTGAAACGCGCTCCGCGATTTATTTGTAGAATGAAATAATAATAACGCGATATGCAACATCAATTTAGGTTTCCGAAAACAACGAGAGAAGATAATATATATATATATATATATATATATACGCGGAAGATGTCTTATTATTTAGCGCTTAATTACATTCTTCGATCAATTTCGAGTTGATATTTCCTCCATGAAATTTCGAGATTACATAACTTTGTAATTAAGTCTTGAAATTTTGTGAAAGTCAAGTTTTCTTAAGATCAAAAGATTTTCAGGAATGATTTTATTATTTATCATATCTCTCCGAAGCTTAGTTTATTAATTAATTACTAATTATTTCAAAATTATATTATTGATTTGAATATTTTCCTCGAGACAAAATTGAACGTGTATGTAAATATCACGGAAACTTTTCCATTTTAATTACATTCAAAGAAATGTATCCGATGTAAGATGCAGATTATGTCTTATCATTTTAGTGCTTAATTGCATATTCGTCGATCAATTTCGAGGTCATCATTAGATAAATTTGTAATTAAGTCTTGAAATTTTGTGAAAGTCAAGTTTTCTTAAGATCAAAGGAAGGGATATGATTTTATTATTTATTAATTATCTCTGAAGCTTAGTTTACTAATTGTTTAAAAATTATTAATGCGAATATTTTTGCGAAGAAAAAATTGAGCAAGGAACGTATATGTAAATATCCCGCAAGCTTTCCACTTTAATTACATTTGAGGAAGCTCATCCGATGTACGCGAAATGTTTTCTCGCAGAACACGCGAGTCGATTAACCGGGTACGGTATTGAATTCATCGCTGATGAAACATCAGCCATCCATTCTTCGATGAAATTCGAGGAGACTCGGCACATCGTACCTACCTCGGAGCGTAATTGCAGACGTACATGTAGAAGTCCTTGCCGAGCGGACCCGTCCCGCCAGTGCAGTGGCTCACTCCGCATCCGACCAGATGCGTCGTCGCCCATACCACTTGCGTGTAATGACCGATCTCGAGGAGCTCGTTCGTCGTATTCGGCCCGTACTTGAAGTCCTTGTACTCCATGTACCACATTCTAATGGGGAAGTTCCTGCGAACATTCCGACGAGAGGCGCGATGAGCGATTCGGATTTGCGGTAGGATGGCGAATGTTGCTAGCGCGCGATGTAAAGCGTGCGGCGGTTGTGATGTTTGTCAACCTCTTGTCTATACGAGCTATACGAATCCCGCGCTAACAGTTTGTCCACACCCACGTGGATTTGTTAGCGCGCGCGTAATCTAATTCTAACTCCCTCGCAAGACCGGCGGATTAATTGTTATGAGTGATACTCTCGTTCCAAGCGCGAAATGCTCAACTTTTTCGAGAGTTGAAGCTGCAGTCGTCTTTTAAAACGATCTAATAGAGTTTATAAATTTACCATTTTTTTATCGTATCTTCAACAGCAATATTTAGAGTCAAGTTTACTAGATTTACTAATCTTTTTTATTCAAGGATATTTATAAAATAAAATTAGATTAAATAAAAATTAGATTAAAAAATATAAAATAAATGAGAATCTTAAAATTAAAATATCTTTTGTTCCAAGTAATAAAAAATTAATAAAATCTATATTATGTATAAAAGTAATAATTTCTCTTATATAAAATTCATATATCGATTGAATATAAAGTTTAATATATTGTCGAAGCGGTATAATTTAATTTAATGAAGCCGACGCGGTTAACTAATTAACAGCAGATGGACCGCTGCATATTTTCACGGAAGAAAATTCTAACGCGTACAACGCTCGAAATACACCTGCGCAAATAGACCGGTGCGACGCGAACACACTCGCTAACTAGAAGTCAACAAGATTTAATATCTCACCAGAGTGTACGACCGGTGCTGATGAAAATGTTTTGTCCGCTCTGGCCATAGCCATCCAGGTACAGGCCGGTCGCGTTGTCGTGCACCAAACCTAGGCAATGATCGGCCCATCTCTGCGCCGACTTCGCCAAGCCCGAATGCCATTTCTGAAACGAGAAAATGGACATGTACGTGCATTATCGGACATGCCTGACTAAACGATGCTACACGAAATGCCCCCAAACCATCATTATCAAGTCGAAATGAGAAGATGTTTCCCTGTACGTTTCTCGATGCATATTAATAGTTGCATCTCGAATTATTGAAAAATTAATTTTCTGGCGCAAATAAAAGACAAATAAACGAAATTCTATGTATAATTGTCTCTTCGACAAGTGCAGTCGAGCTATATATTATTATAATGTAATTATTTTATAAATTAACTATTACCTTTCTAAAAATGACATGCAAAGTCGATTATCGCAAATACTGTTGCTGCTTTTCTGCGATGCTGATTGATTATCTCGATTAACATTGTGTGTTATATTAATAGCAAACTGTCATCGTGAAGGTTGTATAATAGATTGACAGTTGTAAAATAAAAAATTAAAATAATATCAATAACGCGCGCGAACCGCGAGCTTGTGTCTGGTACATAACAAAAATTCATAAATTAAAATAATATACATAATTAAAATTATGTACGTAATAGATATTCAAGAATTAAAATTAAAATATAAAATATAAAATTAAAAAATATAACTGTTTAATATAATATACTGTAGCATCATTTATACCTGCATTATTTTTTAATGAAAATTATTGAATTGTATTTCTCAAATTTGTATTAGTATTCTACTATCAGTTTACCATACTAACAATAATTTGCTATCATAATTAAACTTGATAACAAAATTGAGTTTAATTTATGAGTTGACACAATTACTTTTACTTGTAACTTCCTATTATACTAACAAATCTGCTTATAAATACTAAATTTATGTAGCATATATATGTATATATATATAACATTTCATTTAATCTAACCGAATATAATTACGCACGCAAAGCAAAGTTATATTATTCTTTGAGAATAAAATCTCAAAAATTGCAACGCATGCAGACAAAAATTTTTTTACAAAATTGATTACAATCAATGCATAAAAAATATATTAATTACTTATGCAACGCATAAAAATTCAATATTTAAATCTTTAACAGAAAATAGAAAATAAAATTTTCTACAAGAATCTTTTGTAATCAAATATCTACGCTTTCATTAGACTCGCGCGAGACTATACCCCTTACATCCGTAACGCTGCGCGGTTCCCGCGAGACTGATTCTCGTGCGAGGCATCGCGAGCGCGGGACCGATGGTCACATGACCAGTGGTCACATGATCAGTGGTCACATGACTAGTGGTCACGTGCCCATCGGTCCCGCGCTCGCGATGCCTCGCACGAGAATCAGTCTCGCGGGAGCCGCGCAGCGTTACGGATGTAAGGGGTATAGTCTCGCGCGAGTCTAATCAAAGTGTATTTTATCACAAAAAATTCTTGCAGAAAATTTTATTTCTTTGTTCGTATTTTCTGTTAAAGATTTAAATATTAAATTTTATGAATCATGTAATTAATTCATTTCTATGCATGCATTACAATAATAATTTTATACAAGCGTTGCAATTTTTAAGGTTTTATTATTAAAGAATAATATAACTTCGCTTCGCGCACGTAATTATATTCAATTAAACTAAACAAAATGAGAAAAAATATATAAAGATATATTTATACAAAATAGTTCTCAAACAATATAATAGAAATTCGCCAAATTAAAATTATGAGATACATAATAAAAATTCGGCGATTTAAGATTATGTATATAATATAAATTCGGTGAATTCAAATTATGGTCATAGCATCAAGCAACTGTCATTGCGAAGATTAACAATTTACTAGTTGTAAAATAAACAATAGAAATGATATCAAAGGAGCGCGCGAAGTGCGCGCTTGTGTCATCTAGTAGGGTATAAAAATGTCAAATAAAATACTTTATTAAATATTTTAATCTCTTAAACACAAGTTGATGATTTTCTATATAATTTCAATCTTGAATTTGTGAAAATTTTTTAATATTTTAATAATATGTTAAACAAATATAACTCTAACACAATTATTAATATATTTCTCATACATGATTTTCATTCATATTTCAATTATAAATTCTATGTTTAATATACTAATATATTTTACAATTTATATATATTAATAAATATACTAAACTGCGTAATTAAAAATAATGTAGAATATAATATAGAAAATAGATATAATATAGAAAACTTTAATAACTATAATATATATATATATATATATATATAATATATTAAAGTAACTTAAGTAAAAATAAATAAAATATTATGTACATGAATAAATATAACTTTAATTGAAAATGACAATTCAAAAATGAGTTGTGAATAAATGATTTAAAGTTGAATTGAATTTTAAAATTGAATTTTAAAAAATCGATAATTAGATGCATAAAAAATGTTGCATTAAGAAAAACTTGACGATTGTCAAGAAATTCATAATTATAGAAGCATGATGTTCCGTGAAAATTTCTTCAGTATGTTATTGCAAAAAAACTTAAAATCTAATTAAATACATGTAATACGAGCTACAAGCCGTGTTTACGAATGCAAGAAGTTTTTGCTGTAAACTCGCGGTAAAAGTTTCTTAACTTTCCTGCGACTCCTTAATTGCTCGTTATATGCAAATATCGCGCTTTCAAAGCCATAATATTCGTAGAGGCGTTTCTAGGAAGTTTCTCGTGAGAAAACGCTGCGCTTCCTCTATCTTTCCGCTATTTTTTTTTTATGTTTCCCTCTACACAAGTTTGATATTGATGGGTTCATTTAATTCTCCTTAATGAATCGCGCGTATAGCTGCAATAACTGCGACTACATTACTGAACATAAAAAAGGTGATGCAAAGTTATTTTGCATTCTACGAGCCTATATTAAGCTTAAGAAACTCAGAAGCTATTCGAGCAGGTGTCCTTAATCAGAAGCGCTCCTTGATTTATGCATCTCGAGGCGACTGCTTCTTAGCTCGTATAAAGTTGACTCTGAATTCTAATCAGTACCGGCTGCAATATATTCTATGAGGCACAATATACTTAAAAATTACATTTTTCATTATTTTTTAAAAATATATCTCTTTATGTTAATATTATATTTTACGTGCCACATATTCTCTCTATATGTACATTTTACATATGTATATCTTTTTTTTCACAAAATATGTATTACAAAATGAAACATATAATTCTTATATAGAGTAGAATAAAATTATTTATCGTAAATATAAAAATATCGGGATAAATAGACGGTAACATTTTCTGAATCGTTCTGCATTATTTATACATTTACATTGAACAAATAAAAATCACGCGAGTTAATTAAAATTGTAATTTCTTTAAAAAAATTTGATATTGCGATTTTATTTATATAAGAATTAATTTGTGCAAAAGTAATTTACTGGCGAACAGAAAACGAAGAAAAAGAAAAAACGATGATGTTAACTAGCTTTGATTTTAAACTTCGTCTATTCGTCGATAGAAAGAGCAATTCCCAATATAATATCCTCTCCTCCGAGAAACAATACATTGCACACCTCGGGTTTTCGCCGGAAAAACTCCGGATAACAGTCGCATTTCTACGACGTAACTCCTGCCGAAAGTAGCTTTTACGGCGACGTCGCCGGTAGTTTCCGTGGGAAAAGAATTTAAGTGGGAAGTCGTGTAACTTATAACCAAGCTGGAGATTGGGCGGAAGAAAACGACGAGAGTAGACGGAAGAGAAGATCTAGAGATAGTTTGACCACGTAAACACCTGTCCTCAAATACGCACACCAGGTCTCTTTCGGAAGGAAATTGCAGCAAACAATAAGAGTGAAAACTCGAAAACATCAAATTAATAATCATCAAATAATTTAATATGTCAAGACTCGTGATTGTGATTATTATTATTATTACGAAAAAAATTTATTTAGAAATTCGAAAATTATGGATAGGGATCGTGTCGGTTTGCTTCTATTTTTCTATGCGTTTTTTTCTTTTCGCCTTCATTAAGTTTATAATTTATAACATCCGTTTCATTTTTTTCTTTCTAAAGACAATCAGATTTTAATTCGTATCTCTATAAATCTATTACATTAGATTACTAATCTTGTAGTAAATGATGCATTTCCGCCCGTAATATATCTTATTCTATATTCCGACGTGAAACAACGAGAAGCGAGTGATATATAGTGTATATGTTTGCGTATATGTTTATAGATATATCGGATAATAACGTCGATACAAGCCGGAAATTGAAATCTTGCACCGTTCTCGACGGCAAACCTCGAAAATTTAGTTTTCTGATCAAGTAAACCACTACGTAAGGTAAATGTCTGATCAAGTTCGCCATTTTGTGTGCACAGTGCATTTAATTTATCCTAAAGTCGAGCGTTCATTAAGTAATTCAAATATCTGATATATAATAAAATTATGATTATATTAAATTATAATTTTATTAAATATTTTATTAAAATTAATATTATATTAAATTATATTTTTATTAAATATTTTGCGTGCGTGTACGCGTATGTGTGTGCGTGGTGTGTAGAACTTTTATAAAGCATGAGTTACTATTTATGTATTTACGTCCTTTTGCAATTAAAATTATGTATCATTAATGCATGTTTTATTATAAATATTTGCGATTAAAATATTTTACAGTTAACTAATCTTTTATCAATTATCTATTATTTTTGAAACACGAGTGCATACTTTATTATTACGCTTTATTATCAAAACAAAAAGAGAGAGAGAGAGAGAGAGAGAGAGAAGAGAGAGGTGTATGTTATAAACTATAAACAATAATTGCTGCAGGATTTACCACTCTGCAGTTTTGGTAATTTCCCGGAAAATACGGAAAATATACATCGCGAAATATTAACGGATAACGAGCGCTTTCGCCGCTTAGTTTTAATCAGTTCAATTAACAGTGCACATTATCCACCGCAAAGTTGCTGAAAATCCTGAATTAAATGCGTATTGTGCCGCAGGCGGAAGTTGAATTACGTAGTTACGTACTTATTTCTTTTTTAAACTGTTTACATTTCCAGAAGAGTATCCGCTCAATTGAGCGGATGATAATCATTTCTTTGAACGTTATGCATGTAAATTTCACAAAAGCAATAAGCATTTTTAATTGATTTAACAAATTCAGAATTGTCCGCCAACTATATGATTTAAGTTTCTTCCACGATTGTCTGACACTCAGAAAGAAGAAAAATTGCCAGCACTTTTTTGTTTCAAATGATTCTGAATAATTGTTGTCAGTAATTATAATAGTTTATTTTTATTTTCTTAAATATTTGACGATATTTATTTTAATTTGCATTATTATTACAAACTTATTATAATTTTTTAAAATGATATTTGCTAGATTAAAAGCGCGTTATCTTATTGAAATTAATCATAGAACTCGAATAAAAAAATCTGTCAGTATCGATGTCGAAGTCAGCATAGCCGAAAGACTATTCTCAGTTTCGCAAAAAGAAAAAGATACAGGAGCCAGAGAGTTTGGAAGGATTCCATTTTGAAAAGTGACAACGTATTGTCGAAGGCACATCGAAAGATGGGCATCTGGGAAAAATCGATCGAAGTTGAAAGCGGAACGAGATTTCGCTAGCTCGTATCATTCACGAACTCTTGTGCGAAGGAATCCTAAGAAGATCCGATTCTCCCAAAAATCCACAAAAATCCTCAAAGCTTTCAAATTTAAAATAATCCGATTAGAAAAATTAAATATATATGATATACATTTATATATTCGATATATGTATATAATATAAAATAGAGTAAAAACAATCGAAATTTTCATGCGATTTATTTTGCGTACAATTATTTCAAATGAATAAAAGAACATGAATTATTTGTCTATTGCCAAAAAATTGTTCAGTCACTTTTTTCCATTTTGAATGATTTACTTGAAATGACCAATATAGTTTGTAACATTAATATGTGAAGGTTGCGGTAAAAAACGTTGTTTTATTTATACCGTATTGCAAAAAATCTCAAAGTACTCTCTGCTTTCATACATCCGTGAACGAAAACGCATCGCTGCCGCGAGCAGATGCAACAATGACAGGTATGTCGAAGTTTTACTTTTTCTCGTATCGACAAACGCGAACGAGTTTGCGAAATATCGCGATGACCCCTGTCGAAATGAAATTTACAGAAAGACGTTTATCGGCGCGAGGGCCCCGATGAAGCGTCGTAAACGTCCACTTCCGCCCAACAAAACTGATTTTGCTTTGAAGTTCAAATCGTGCCGATCAACGGAAATCGGATACATCTCGACCTCGTGTTTCGCAAATAACACTTGTATCGACGTACAACGCGCTCGTGTTCTCGGAGATTCTATATATATCTTCGCAAGCCGTTTATCGCTCAATCTCGGCAGTAACGCGATACTTAACAAGTGGCTATCTTCTTGGATTTATTTATGAGACAATTTTTTTTCACTCTACATCCATTTATATTTAAAATCTATATATGTGCGTATAAAATATAGAGCTATAGGATATTTTTTAAACATAAAAAGTCATGAAAAGAGAAATCTGTGCTGAACTTGCAGGCTCTGCAACTGAATTATTGATACATGAAATAAGCCAATGTCAGCGTACACAATTCTAACGACAATCTTTCAGACAGAAATACAGGGTTCAGTTTTTGTCAATGAAAATTTGTTGAATCATCGAATCTCATCTTGGAGGCGCTGCAAGTTCATTCGATCGAGTTCAGATCTCTCTTGTTAGATGGGGATATAAATGGAATTCTTACCATGACAAGCATGTTGGCTGCAGTTGGCTCGACCTGCGTGCGAAAATAATTGTGTGTCTCGACGATTTTCTGCCGCACCTTGCTGTTGGTGGTTTTTATTAACTCAACGGGGACACGGTCGCCGTACAATCGTGGCGCTGAAAACGAAAAGAGAGAGACATCCCTTCAATAACTGACATCTGACAATTCTCCCTTGTGACAGTTCATTCTCATTCTTCTGTTGCAGAAAATACGAGGGAAAATCTTGAGCGAAACCAAATATATCTCGCAATCAAGACAATGAGATACAGGACGGATAGAAAGATTGAAAGGTAAGTTCTGGTTGCATGCAGAAATAAATCAAATTAAAATTACATATATTTATTAATATATTTATATAGCACGAGTTGCAATGGAGATTATTAAAGATTGTTCAAGTTTACAAAAAGATAAATGTATTTGAAAATTAATTTTCTCGGAGAAACATAGTCTAGTAAAAAACTGTATTTTACAATTTTACACGAAAAATTCTTTTCCAATTATTTCCCTTTGGTTTTCCGGCTTATCCTATGTAGCAATAAAAAAGGATAAAGATATAACAGGGGATACAAAAGTTTCACGTTGAGCGTTTCTATTAAATGAAATTTTCCGCTGTTATTCACGATATCGGAAGCTTCCGACGTATCGTGTCGGAAATTATCCGAGTATCTACGATATAGGATAACAACATATTCCAATCGGATACTACTCCGAACGTTGTACGATCGCTTTTCAGTTGCCTTTTCGACGACGATGCATGTGTAATTGTTTCCGCGTGCGTTTAAAAAAAAAATAGAAACGAAGCCCTTTTCTCTCGCCTCCGGTATTTCAGGTCGTCAAAAGGATTGGCGATTTATCCTGAAGCTATATATCGTTCGCGAGCCCGATCGGAAACGCGAGTTCTACGACTGGAGTGTTTCCGACAACGGTGTCGCTGGGTATTTTTCGGCAATCGTGGATCTCTCTTTTGCTCTCTGTCGAAATCGGCTTACGCGACGGGAGAAACAAGTAGTCTTTTCCAATCGTGACGCGAATTTCATAATCTGAATTGACTTTCTCGTTCGCTCGCGATGCATCGAAAATCTTCCGAATCGAGGATATTCACGATTAGAAAAATGCGGTCGCGTTTTCATCGAATATTCGAATAATCACGCGGTACGATTTTTCAACGCTTGTATAAAAAGCTTCGCGAACTTCCTCTCCTCGGATAGAAAATTTAACGAGAGTAATAATAAATATCTGCTGTATCGGCGAAAGAGGGAATAATTCTTTGAAACGGAGGCAAGAGATATGTAAATCGCCATTTGGAGATAAATATCGAGTCGGGTTTGAAAAATAATATTTTCCTGCGATAATCGCTCGTACAAGATTTTACGTTTATTTAAAAAATCTGTACTCACTGGGCTTGCTTCTGTGAATTTTTCGTGGCACGGCAGCTGGCAGGGCCAGAGCCACCAAAACGATTATCCAGAACCACTTCATTATTTTCGCTTGTAAACTGAAACAATTAAAATACATAGTCGAATTTAGAGATTATGTCGAACATAATATGCATAAAAAAAGATCTTTTCAAATTATGCGAATGAATATAGATTCTTCCCTTCCAGTAAACATTACTTATTCAACGCAACGCTAAATCACCGAGATACCTTCGACGTTGAGAAGCAAAAAAAAGTGCAAGCGGAACGAGATCTCTCCGATTGTTTCGTGGGGGCAAAATCAATCTCAAATTGAGCGAGAAAGCCGTAAACGAAGTCTCGTGTACAGTCTTTCCGCGATTGTATCTCGATCGATCTTTTCCCCTCGTTATTCGTTCCGCAGTATAGATGCATGTACGTACATACGCGCGTACAGGTCTTGGGCGGGACCTTCACACCTGTGTGCGCGGCTCATTAATCACCATTCGTCTCGTCAACGGCAAATTTCATTATTTCTCGGCTTGCCGCGAAACTGTGTGTCCACGACGCGACGAGAGTGGGCGGTCTCCCTTTATCCCTGCGGACGCTAACAACTCTGGACAACCCTGCCGCACTATCATCAATAGCATAGCGCGACGGTGAAACGTCAAAGGCAAATGGCACGTACGAAGACGGATTACGGTTCGGCGCCGTGTTTATTCGCGTCCGCGCGCGCAACAGAGCGAGCGAGATCCGCCCGATTTTTCCCGCAAATCGCTCGGCCGGTCAATAACAAACGCCCGCAATGATACCCTGTTTCCGCGCCGTTCGATCCTCGATTTAATCGAAAAATTTCGCGGCTAAAAAATTTGATTGCCCTCCGCGTTCGAATGTCGATTGTATAGGGGTTTCCGGAAACACGTTGTTCAACATTATTCGGTCGAGTGTTGAAGCTATGCGTTATTAAATATCGCCCGGAAACATTACTTTTTCCCTCCAATATCTTCTTTCTCTATCGTTACACTAGCTCGGATAATTATGATAAAATAAATTAAATTAATTAATTAATAATAAATTCTTGACTTGCTCTCTCTATAAATGCGAATTAAAATATAATTTACGTTAGTAAATCACTTATCGTATCTCGTCGAAAATAAAACATTTATAGATTGTATTCCATCGTAGGAACGCGTTTCGGCAACGCCGAAAATCATCTTTTCCATCTTCGAATCTATCCGTCATAAGTGCTTCGTAGTACTCCATAATGTCAAAGATATGCAAAAAGGTTCGATCGTGCTGAACGTCAAAGACACATTTTGTTTCCTCAGAGTCCTGTGTGCGCATATTTCCATGTGTGTGTCCGCCACTTTTTATTTTCCCTCTTAGAACATTTCCCGAGCGAAAGATATATTCCAATTCTTCCTCCCTTCATCGTTTCTTCGTCGTTCTCAAACGAAGCGCATACAAAACGGTTTAAGATAGATATACGATACATATGGATGCTCTGTGTTTCTCCCCTTGATTACATTTTGATCGTTCAGCCTTAAAATTGGGTTCAGTGGAAAGTGCAAATTCGCTCGTTCGATTTGAAATACGAGTACGTCAAAATTATAACGATTGCAAATCTTTTATAAATTTTATTTTTATTATGTATATTTTATATACACAATATTGTTATTATACATGATTTATATATATATTTATAAACATTTAATTTTAAAAATTCAACTTCAATTTTTTAAATTACTTTATATTTTAATATTTAATTTAAGATTGCAAATCTTTTATAAATTTTATTTTTATTATGTATATTTTATATACACAATATTGTTATTATACATGATTTATATATATATATATTTATAAACATTTAATTTTAAAAATTCAACTTCAATTTTTTTAAATTACTTTATATTTTAATATTTAATTTAATTAAATATTAAAATAAAGTTTTCATTTTAATTAGGTCAATATATCTGCACATGTCTAAAAAAAAAGATATAAAAATAAAAGTGGAGAGATAAATCTCGAGATGGTTTTTGAATATATACGATCGTCTGCAAAATTTAGCTGAATAAACTGAAACTCGACGAACATCCCCGATGTATTAATATCTTGCTCGGAATCCTCGTAAAGTACTATCGACTAGCGGCTTCTCCGGGGACTCCGGGAAACACTAATGCAAGCTGACCAAACATTCGGAATTTGGCACAGGCTGTTACCGTTCGCCACGACATGCTAAGCATATGGCGTGCAGATGCCCGACTTGTAATAACTGTTTGCAATTTCGCCGGACGTCGGCTAGTTGCGCATATTTGAGAAACATAACATAACAAAACAACGCGAAACGCGATGAGTTTCTCCCGATGTGGAAATCTCTTGGAAACGTTTTACGCGACACATCTCGCGACAGACTTCTTTGATTTACGATCTTTTCAAACCATTTTATATTGTTTCATCTCCAATGTTCTCAAAATTATCTCTCAGCTTTTCTCAGCTTTCGGTTTTTGTATTTCACTTTTGCCGCTCGAAATGTCCTTTTTGTTTCTACGTACAATATTATAGCGCGAGCTTTCTACATGAGTATAAATAAAAGAAAATTTTATCAAACAATATATACGTATGATTTATTGTTCTCTTGTACTATAGTTGTAAATGTATTTACACGTAAAAGTGCGAATTAAATGATATTGAGGTGAAAAGGTGAAAGGGTGAAAATGGAAAGAAATAAACGGGTTGCGTGGCTGTAACAATTAAAATTGTTATTATTTTAGTAATAATAATTAAAACTTATATTATTTTAACTCAAATTATTACTTTGTAAGTTATTCGTAATGATATTGTTGCGACGAATAATTATACGATACACACAAATTTAACTCTGTTTAATTGAGCTATAAATATTTGATAAATTCAACTTTACTTTAACTTTTCTATTTAACTCACGTATCCACTCACAGAAATACGTAAAGCGTGTATTATATTTCAGAAATCATGTACGACTACATGCGCGCATGTACCTAACTTGTCCCTTTGCTAAAGCAACATTTGTGGCTCGCCCGAGGGTTAAAGGGCCGGAGAGCCGTCATTTGTATTCCACATTTATTGCACGTTTGATGTATCGTGATGCGGATAGATGTAGTTTATTCTAACGCGGCTGAACAGCTCGCCTTTATGCGGCGCGATGAAAGCTAGTAGTAGAAGCGAGAGAGAGGTCAGCCGTGTCCGACCACAGCCGAGCGTTTCTACTGAAATTCGCTCTCGCTCAATTTCTATGCCGCGCTATTATTATTTTCTTTTTTAATTCCTTTATCATATCGCTTTTATCATGCCCTGTACACATTTATCGTCGAGTTTGAAATGCTGAAAAGTGTTCTACGAGCGCCAGGCTGATTTTTATCATTCAAATATCGTATTAAAATATCGAAAATTTTTTTCTCTCTCTCTCTTTCTTCCGTGTTAGTTATTCGAGTTATAATACTCGCAGTAACAGATGAACGAGAATGAAAAGTTGATGAGACCAGAGACGAGTGCCGAGAGACCCCGAGTTCCATTACCGGACAGAGTCGGTTATCACGAGATTCATTATTACGCCACGTACATGTTAGTCGAGGAATAAAGGGTGTCGTCCCGGCCCTTTCAGTAAGAGTCAAAAGCGGCAGTTCGTCAATAATTCAGGGGAAATTTCCGAGCGGGATAAGCCCGACCGGGGAGGTAACCGCGTTTAATTTCGCGACAAAGTCGGACGAAGTATGGCGACACACGAGACAACGCGCGTTCTGAAACATGCAACGCGCAATATCGGCCGCGTGTAAATTGCTCATAAATATTTTCACTTAATTTCGCTCAAATCAAGTCCGGATAACAACGCTCGTCCGTGACGGATTAACGTCCGGATTTATAATTAAAATCGTAATCGCGAGGAGACGATCGTTGGGTCTCTTTCGAAGGGAACGACGGGATTTTATATATATATATAGGCTTAAAATAGAACGTTGTTATTAATGAATTGGTGAATTTGTTAACGAACCCGACTGGCCTCGACAATTTGTTTCGCGATCGCGAATATTTTGAAACGTAATGCAATCCGACACAATCGTGATCGATGATAATATCGCCAATTATTCATATTTATACGTTTATTCGTTAACGTAAATATGTAAAATCAATTTACGTGCGTTTTCGAATACAAATGATTAAATTAATTAATATAATTGGCAATTTGAGCATGCGATAGAGGACTACATGTATATATATATATATGATATAATTACAAAATTGAGAAAATTAATTTTAAAACGGTAAAAATGGCGATTTTCTTCTCGCGTGTAAAAGTCTAATTTTTCGAAATATGATAATTTTGTTAAAATAATTGTGATGTTATACTTTGTAGAGCATGTTGTAGAACATGTCCCGAAATAGTGTTATTAATTACATATAGTTATGTCGGTTTACTTCTCTTTCGCATTCGCGGATCGAAAGTCGAATTACGAATTAGAAGCCCGAGAACGATCCTCTTTGACTCTCCGTTGCGGTTGGAAATGGGAAACTTTATCGATAGTTTCGCATTCCTCGCCATTAAACGCGGTTCTCGCATTCAACTGAATCTCAAAGTATCTCGCTAATGGGTACACTCGGGCTTTTGTGCGTTAAACTCTGAACGAATCGTCACCACATCGTTGTCGCCGCTAACGAACAGAAGCATAAATCGGCAACACAAAATACGGATTATATTTTATAAAAATATATATGTACATAAAAGTTCACGCGCAAATACGATTTGAAGCAGAAAAGCGACTACAAAGATCCTCCGATTATAAAGTTATTATATAATGTATATTGAAATATTATTCGACGGTGAATGTTAAAATTTAAATTTTTATCTCTGTATTATTTTTTCTGTTCCAATAAAAATGATTTATCCCGACTGTATTATCATATCACATAACGGGAAAAAAGGAAATACAACTCGTAATTCTAAAAAAATTGTTATAGAAATTGTATAATACGAAATTAAAAACAATATATGGAAAAATGTAATATAATTATTATTTTAAATATATTTATACATATGCGAAGGCATTTAAATTTTCTCAGAGAC